TATTAGTCAACTCCTAAAATTTAGCCTTGAGATACCACTGCCACAGGAATATTCGAAGCATTAACTCTCCCAGCAGCCTTGTTTGCCTAAGTGGAAAATGATCAGATCAGTAACTCAAGGGGGAAAAACAGCTGAACATCAGAAATAAAAGAAAAGTGACAATTAGGATGCCCCAACTACATGATGGATGACACCTAGGTAGGACTCATACCATGTTCCACCCACCTTATAGCTGAGATTGGACATTTTCCCATATTCTATCAGAATAATAGACTCTAGTACCTGTTTTTCCCAATTACCACGAATCGTGATGATTATGAATAACAAGATCTGCACAGAGAATGCAGCCACAATACCCAGCCACAGTCCCTATTTTGGAATGTCAAAAAAGAGCATGAGCAGCTGCCCATTAGATATAAACACAAAGTGGTAGCAAAGCACTTAAAATTTTCCAAACGATTACCTTAGCTTTTAAGGGTAGAACAAACGCAAACACTGATGCAACAGGCAGCCCTACTAAGTAGTAAGACCCCAGATTGATCCATGCCCCAATCTTTTTCCAGCCGCAGCCTCTAGCGATTCCTGCACAAAACAGATTGACGTAGTATCATCATTAGGATCCAGTGGAAGACAGTAAATAGTTGAGGAAAGAATGTTTAGCAAAAAACCTGAGAGTACTGTCTGATTCCCATCCAGGAAACTGGATGCGGCCACAATAGGCACCATTGTTTCTACATATTTTACAACTCCCTTTTCATTGCTAAAAACGCGGCCCCAAACATTCCGAAGCAGTACGATGATAAGTGCAACTATTAAGCCCTCTGCAATTGCCATAAATATGCCAACATTTGCTGCCACTCTTGCTGCTTTAGGTCGGCCGGCACCAAGTTCATTGGAGACCCGAGTGCTATGCAGGAGAAATTGCAAGTAACTAAATCAGTATCACTGTTCTAGGAAAATCAATCCTTAGCACAGTTATTGGTATAATGTCAAAGGAGGTGGAAATTCAGCATACCTTACTGCAGCACTGAGTCCAAAAGGGATGACCCAAACCACTTGAGCTGTGTTAAAGCTGTTGAATATTAAGATTCTATATTAGCAATACAATAGAAAAATTAAGCAAGTTCTTCAAAGAAATTACAAATATTTGTTTAATTTATTTCACTAACCAAACAGCAAGCACAGAGGTTTCCAACTTTGGGTTAGGGAGAAGTCCTGAGAGAAAGATCATTAATTCAAATGACCAAACCTTCAAGCTGCACAAAATCATTAAAATGATCAAAATAAAAAAAATTGGTTTATCTTTAATCGATGTAGGTTAATAAGAAATTACCAAGGCATGAGAGCAGAAGGAATGGAAATTCGGATGAAGCTGAAGATGTTATGCATAGCCTCAATCGAAAAGCCAGTCCAAGTGTCGGTCAATGAAGCGGAGAACTTGATGTAAAATGCTAACAGCAGTACATTTAGCCAATAAGAGACAGATATTGCCAATGCAGCTCCTCTAATGCTCAGCCCCGATTTAAATACTAAGGACAAACAAACAATAGCATGGAAGGAAGACGTAATTCCAGAGAGCAACATCATTCCACAGACACGGTTTTGGGTTTGAAAGAACTTGATGAGGCATTGCAGCAGGCCATGTGCAAAGAGACCAGGAATCATGAACAAGATATACTGTCCTGCTTCTCTTGATATTGTAGCGTCTTGGTGGACTGCAATAAGAATGTGCTTCGTGTTTGCCCAAATGATAGCAATGAATATGTTGATGATGGAAACAACAAGCATGGCTCTTTGTGAGTATACACCAAGCATATGGTACTGCTCTGCTCCAAATGACTGCCCGCATAAAGTGTCCAATGCAGTACCCACTCCTACCTGTCACGTTGACCAATCATATAAAACATGTTAAAAGAGTGTTGCTAATAAGAATCCTCAAAAGGTTATAGAACTATATTCACTTAAGTTCCCCCTATTTTGTTCTCAATACCCCATTTTCACTGCTTTGTTGCTCTCAATACCCCTTTTATTTATTAGCATAAGTTCTTAGCATTATCATGAACACAGATTTTACTAACAATGACTTGAAGAAGTTGAATTGGATGGCATTTTCCTTGATATGCATATGAACTATATTCCAAAACCATAATCCATTTCTTACTTCTAAGCTTCCAAATTAATTTTTTCCTTTTGGCCATAAAGCTTCCAAATTAATAATTGTCACAAATTGTGATGAAGAATTATTATAGATCTTTTTCTGTTAGTAATACACATTTTTGTATTTGCATTAGTTACTAAAGCTTATCATGAATATGAAAGCATTTCCTAGGAATGACATAAACAACATTCTTTTTAAAATATGAATAAAGCTTCATAGTTTTATGCATTTCATGAGAGAAGCAAGGAATATCTTCCTCAAATTCCCAAGTTTCATAGAGATTATCACTGACATAAATACAACACATAAGTGCTACATCATTAATTCTAACAAAACAATGGGATTAATTAGAACGTGAAGAATGTGTGTTTGTTTCAAGGAAATTTTCATTTCATTTCCTTGGAAAATTGAGCGTATCAAAAACGGACAAGTTGATTTCCTTGAAGGCTTGAACAGAACACATACTTACTATCAAGGCGAAACCAGTGACAGATGCGAAAGAAGTGGCAAGGGAAGCAGCTGAGAGGGCTAACTCGCCATGATGACCCACAAACGTTATAGAAATCAACTGCAAACTGTACTGAAACAGACCAATAGCAATGAGAGGTCCTGAAAGATAAAGCTGTTTCTTCACTTCTTTCACAATGCTCTGTTTCCAACCACCCTCCATCTCCAAGCTTGGCTGTAGCAACGTAGGTATATTACAGAGATTAATTTAGTAAGGTAAGCAACAAAAAGGAGAGTAAAAATGATAACAAAAAAGAATCTAAATGAAGGACTTAAAGGGGTGCATTTTTCAGATTGTTGGTCATTTCCTAGCAAAATGGCAAAGGCAAGTTGGTAAAAGTTTGGCATAAATTTCATCAATCAGTTCTACGTGATTAGAATTGGTCAATTGAAAACAAAAAACACTTGTCTTCTTTATACAAAATTAATGAAAAAGAAACATTTTTTTAATTATGCCTTTAGAACATATATTAGAGAAATGTAATTGCTTTTGATAATATGAAACTTACAATTTATTAAGAATGGAAATTTGAAATTTGAATAAATAAAAGAAAACGAAGAAAGTATTAATATAAGAAAATTTCTTCAAGAAGGAAATCAAGCTATAAGCAGAATTTTAGTTTCTCAAAATTTTAATTCTCAAATTGATTCAAACAATGTTATATTGGCTGAAAATGATCAGTCAAAACATCAAAATACACTCGACATTAAATGAAGAATGCACGCAGCCCCTCATCATATGAATAAAAAAAATGAATATTGCATACCAACTTAAGTACCACTCTTAAATATAAAGATACAAGCTGATAAAAAAAATAAATAAATGTTGCATACCAACTTAAGTACCTCTCTTATATAAAAAGATTCGAACTGATTAAAAAAGAAAGGAAAAAAGATTCAATGATGTGTGACTCCCCTTTCGACCGAACTTTTTTTCATCCAAACCATTACAAGCATTTTTTTAAATTAAAAACATGAATAGCTTACGTCAGAAGACAAAAAGCAATTGGAGAATTGAAAATAATTTTAATTGAGTGTGGTAACAAAACATGCTATCATTTTTATTTTTACATAGAGGAGAGCTCTCCGTTTCTTTTCTTTTTCCAACGCATAAAGGAACAATAACCCTTTGGACTTCTTTTCTTTTTTCCTTTTTTTTTTATATATTTTTTAATAAAAGTAATGGTTAACAGTTATGAGTTAGAAGTTAATGTTTTATTTTTTAGTAAAGTTCAACCACTAATCGAGATGTAATCTACCAACAACTCTTCTAAACTACAATAACCACTGAACCACAACAGAAGAATGCAATCCTTTGCACCTTTGGTAATAGAGAAGTCAGGCACTTTCGGGGGGAAAGTGCAGCTTCCTATGTTTAGTCAACTTTTAGCATTTGACCTTTCTGGGTAAAAGTATAACTTGACCCTTTTCAACCCAAAAGTCAATGACAAAGAACGAAGAAAGTAATGGGCTAACCTCACCAAAATGAGAAAGTCTGCTGTATCCCGGGATACCACTCATGTGGTATTTT